AAACAACAAATTTTACATTAGCCTTGATTTCAAGGGTGGCCTAACTTTTGTAATAAAGCCAAGAGTAGTGTTCTCCTCTCGTCAGCAATCTGACAACGACAATACTATTTTGCATTACCGAAGCTTCAGCCATCCAGATGGAAGGGCCAAACCACTGTATACCAAAGAAAAAATTCATGGTAATGAACCTGTTATACTCAAGGATTTCGAATGTGTTTTTACTCTTTCGAAATCTGATGTAGTACTACACTTTGCCCCCGTTTCAACATACATTCTGATGACAACACACATTCATCAAATCATTTATCTCATCAGGTAACTCTATAACCCTTATTCAACTTCTTTTATGCATAGATTAATAATTTTAGCAACACCAGTTTCCCTCATCCCTTTGCGCTCCCAATGGAATATAATGCTTCGCACGTCAGTGGTTCAGCGGTAGAATACTCGCCAACCATACTCCATGTGGCTTCGGTGCGATTCCCGACTGACTCACTCACTCTTAAACCTAGCTAGGCCGGTAGTAATCATTGGTAAAAGCGGGAGACTGAGTGTGAGCATTGCTACACAAAAATCAAAGCTGAAGCTCGAAGCCCTATGCTCCACTAAGAAGGCAAAAGAATAAAGTTAAAAAATTTTCTCATCCCTTTGCGTTTCCGGTGGAATATAATACTTCAAGCCTCTCATGCTGCAGTGGTATTGTTTCTAGAGAGGGATGATGTTGCTAGCCTCACGCAGGAACTTCGATCTTTTTTTTCCAAGGATTACCAGAGACTAGTAAACTGGACGAGATTCAGAAGTACCTCAGCCGAGGGTCAAAACCCAGATTCCCACCAACAATTCATCTCGTCTTTTTCATTATCCCTATTTGTGCCTCAAGGCCTCCTTTTGCATGACCTTCTGTATTCTCCTAAATCTAATTTGATTAAATATGCTGATGATTTGACCGTTTCTGTCCCAGTAGTAGTTCTGCATTGGATTGTTCTTATGTTAATGGATTCTTATCTGAAGTTAACCAAAGGTCTCACTTAAATAGCCTTAAACTAAATCTCTCTAAAATGCCAAACTGTTGATTTTGGTTTCTGATATGAACAAGACTTGTGTGTGTGGACTGACTCAGTTCCATGATTTTTGTATTGTATTGACGGCACTGTGTGATAGGGAGTAAATCGAATATCTCTTTTATCTCGGTATCAGTTTCTCTTCGAATCTCTGATGGTTGTCTTGTTGACTTCTAAGAAAAAGGTTTCTTTTGACTTATTGCGTAAAGAAGTTGAGGTTTTCTAGAATATAACTCAACCTCTCCTCTTACAATTTATTAATTCATGTTTTCTTCCCAATCTCCTTTATTCTTCCTTTAGTTTTTCAAGAAAGGCAATATCATATTACGTAAAATATTGAAAGCTTTAAGTAGGGTTAGTAGTGAGTCTTTGACTCAGTCGACCAACTGACATTGTTGATATAGATATAAAACTTGGGCACTGTGGCAGAGTATAACTCCATAATGGATAAGAGTTTATTTTAATAAAATCACACAGTGTTATACAGTAATATTAACTGATGACGTTTTGAGCACGAATTATTGTTCATAATCATATCAAGTTACTCACACAACTTCTTTCCTTCATTTATATACATCTGTGGAATCGATTAGATATTGGAATAAAATTCAATATGATATAATGTACATTCAGAAATAATAGTAGTACGAGTGTTATTAATCCATTACAATTAGATAGGAAATACGACGAGTGTTTTTATAATCATAATAAGTTAATTGTTAGAATGTTATGATGTGTTTGAATTGAAATAGAATTTTAAGATTATTTATTATCCTCTCCTGATTTGACCGGCGGTAATAATATCTCCCATATTTCTGGTATTTGCATTGAGTCACTTCTGTTGCATGTGTTGGGTGTAGACTCGATGAATAAGGATTCCGTAATCAACCTCTCTCTCCACCTACCTATATTACTTTTTAGAATTTTAACCCTCTACCACCCTATTGTGTGGCTGTTTGTTAATGCGTGAAGTGCAATAGCTGAGCTTTTTTCTAAATTACTTATCTTTTCAGGGTCAATCATTCTTCCCTTAGCTAAATTCTTATGTTCTGATAATCTGACTACCCTCGACCTACTGGTTTGACCTATGTAGTTGACCTCACAGTCATTGCAGGGTATTTTGTAAATTATATTATTTTGTCTAATTGGGTCAACTGGGTCCTTCAACCTACAGAGCTTGTCCCTGAGTGAGTTTGTAGGTTTTAATACCACCCTAATTCCTGCTTTATTAAGAATCCTACGTAGGGTCTCAGATGTCCCTTCCTTATATGGTATAACAGTGGGTGACATATTCTCTCTTATTTATGTTATCATTACGAGCTGTCCATAAAAATGTCTGCTACAATAGGGGATATTGGTGATCCCATTGCTACACCTGTTTGTCTATATATTTTGCCTTGGAACTTGAAGATAGTGGATGTGAGGCATAACTGAATTCCTAAAATAATTTCTTCAATGGACAGCTTTGTCCTATAACTAAGTTCGGAATCAGAAGTTAGTTTACTTTTAACCGCTTCTAAGGCCATATTGACTGGTATATTAGTGTAAAGACTAGTTATATCAAAACTGACCATTGTTTCGTCATTTGCTAGTTGAATGTCATTTAGTTTACTTTTCATCTTATATGAATTAGTCAATCTAGAGTTTGAATGATTTCTGATAGGGCATAGTATTAAAGCTAAGTGTTTTGATAATTCATAAGTAGGAGTATTCCTGAAATCTACTATTGGCCTTATGGGGTATCCTGGCTTATGTATTTTAATAGTACCATACAATCTACTAGCACTATTAGTTTCAGGCATTAAGTTAAACCATTTTGACTCACCCAGTGCCGGCTTCATTCTGCGTATTAGTTCTGCTGTAGATTTCTTAACCTTATTCATTATTGTATCTACAGGCTTCTTAATTTCTTCATATGGACCCGTTTGAATATGTTCAATAACTTTTTTGATATAGTCAGATTTATTCAAAACTACGGTGGCGTTTCCTTTATCAGCTTTTGCGATGACAATATTTTTATCCTGTTTTAGACTAATTAAAGCTTCTCTTTCCGATTTTGTTAAGTTTGATTTTGCCTTCTTTTGATTTTTCAGGGTTAATGCACATCGTGCTCGAACCTCTTCTGTTGTTGTCTTATCTATTGAACCTAGTGCTACTTCTATGTTAGGAACTGACATTGTTATTGAAAGGCATTTCAATTCTTGCAAGCTAAAGTTATCTTGTTTGACACCGTATATATCCTCTTTATTAGCAACACTTCCCCCTTGTATCTCTTCGGATAAAACCAGAAGAAAATTCGTGAGAATTTATGCACGTACAACTAAATATAAAAATTCAAATATAGCATACTTACCACTGGGTATTGTATGAAGAGTCAGATGTCAGAAAAGAACTCATAAACCTTTTAAATCAGTAACTGTGAATTGCAAAGTATAAGCAAAGATTACTATTAATATTATTTGATGTATGGTGACTAACTGACAGTAGAATCCAGGATGCGCATTTTGCCACTGCTAGTCACCATAAACCAACTGACTTCAAGTAATATGAGTAGACATCGTCGAATCATCTACACAAGGAGTTGATATATCAATCTGAGACCGATCACTTCAGTCCAATCAATCGACGGGAAAATCTGCATGGAATTAGATTATTATTATTCTTACAGGTATTATCTTTCATATTATTTATCATTCATCATGTCCCACTAACTTCCAGTTTTTGTGGTTTCACTAATTTTATTATATTATGTAACTGGATATTTATAAAAGGGGATATATTGTTGCAATATGTATAAAAATGCTGAAAATTCTATTCTGTGTAAGTATTACTATTGGGATTAAAGTGATTATTATTACTATAAGTCAGTCTGAACGAAGAATATTATTTTCAATAATTTCCTCCTCTTCACGTTCTTCTTCTTATTATTATATTATTATTGTTTCCTTTAATTCCTAGAGGAACATACGGCTTCAGCCGTGCGTCTCCATTGCGTTCGGTTCTCTGCTAAAGTCTCCACCTGGCTCCAAGTCTGCCCACATCCTTTCATCTCCTCTTCGCATGACCTCCTGCACTCCATGTCACCCTCGCACTGACGACCAACTCGCCTCTTCCCTTTCGGCTGGGTTCCACTCGAGCAATGGCTTGTCTAGTGATGTCACTTGATGGTTTGTTTCGACAGGAACAGTTGAAATGTTATTTGCATAAATATGCACAAATACGAGTATTTATTTTGACAGCCAATAACTAATCTGTTATTCTACGTAAAAATGTATCTGCCGCATAAATGGCCATTATTGTTACTACAACAAATATCCTATTTTGCAATTGTGAGAACTTGAAGCGAATTTATTAGAAGGAACATACTTTAGACTGAGTTTTAATTCATAACATGAGAATATTTTACACCATTATTATTATTATTGTTTATTGTTCCCTTGGGTTCCGAGTAGAACACAGGGCCACAACAACACATCTCCACTTTGTTCTGTTTTCTGCTGCCTTCTTCAGCTGAGTCCACGATTGGCCAGTACAGTTCGCTTACGTCTCCTACACATATCTCAAGCTGTTGCAGTAATAAGATCGACTAAACCGGAACTTTACAATATTTTGTAATCGATTTCAGCATAGCCCGACGTTTGTCACACAAATACGACTATTTATTTTGACAACCCATAACTATTATTCTGTTATTCCACCTAAAAAAAGTGAATCCGCCGCATAACTAACTGGCCATCATTATTGTAACGACAACAAATGCGCTATATTTTATAATTGTAAGAACGTGAAGCAGGGGGGGAAATTATTGCTAAGAATATTCTTCCTTCAGATTGATTTTTAATTCATGGTATATGGGAATATTTCACAATTAAAACGAATAAGAAATAAAACGACTGATTTATGCTTAACATATTTATATATATAATTCATATATATATATATATATATATATATATATATATGTAACATAAGGAATGGATCATCACATTTTTTCATTCATTAGGATCAGTGACCTAGATCATCATCATCGCCATCGTTGCCATCACTGCTGCTGCTGCTCCGGGAAAAGGAAAGGTAGTACACATTTGGCGTTGTAGTAAGTAGTGATAGCATTAGTAGTAACAAACAGGATAGTAATAATAATAATAATAACTGTAACTGAGACAACCATGAAGAGAAATAAGACTGAATAGTGATTGAGAGGCGTGTAGGTGTAACTTGAAGAGGAAGAGTGACAACAACGAAAATGACAACCACAACAACAATAATAATAGAAACGATAATAGTAATAGTAATGATAATAATAGTAATAATAATAATAGCGATGATGATAATGCTGTTGGTGTAGAATATTACTACGACTTATAATTATTATTATGCATCCGAATATGATTCATTCATTCATTAATAGTAGTAGTAGTAGTAGTAGTAGTAGTAATATTCTCCACGTTTTAGAGATAAAAAGAAGAAGACAAGAAACGATGGAATAGACAAATGCAATAAATATGTCTTTTGTTATCGCTTTCTTTTCGTCTACGCATATTTTTGACCACCCATCCGCCCGGGCGCGTGCTCGCACACACACATATATATATGTAGGTTGTATTGTATATGTGCTTATACTTATGCATTATTCTGCAGAAAATTAAATGCCACAATTTCTGAAATTGTGAAATCATAAATATGTATGTGTATGTATATATATGTATAAATAATTGTGAATAATGAACTGAAAATTCCCAAAGAAGGATGAAGCGAGTCATTTCAACGACGCCTGAAAAAACAAAAAACAAAACACACAGAAATTAGTAAGAAACAGCACAAATTATTATTATTATTATCAGTTAATAAATGCCGACAATACCTATCTCTAGGTACATGAATAACTGTTGAATAGGGACGCTATGTTTCATTCTAGTTAACTAACTTAAATATTGTTATAATTCTATGTTTGACAAAGAGAATTGACAATGACTTATAGAACCCCTGGGAAACCAAATAGTAATGCACACACCCACGTCATCCAATTTGGTTTGAGACTCTTTAGAAGTACGCATCTACCGCCAGGGTTCGAACCCGATACTTTCTGGTTACAAGTCAAGCACGTGGACTAATCAGCTACTGGTGTAACAACAGAAGGTAAGACACGGAAGCTAAGGTATATTTTTCATTGATCAAACCACTGTTTATATATATACAGTTTATATTCTTTAACCAATCACTGAGCGTGTGATTTCGGTTTACATCAAACGACAAGTAACAAGAATCTTCAAATAAACATACTATTCATTTGTTAATGCAGTATATAGCCGTGTGGAGCGTATTCTGTCTGTAACATCAGATAGAATGTTCAAATAGATATATTGTATTCTATTGCTATTGCCAAAGGCAAGCTTTCATTTCTCTCAAATTTGTGTGGAGGTCAATATCACTCAGTATGAAAATTAAGAGGCGAATTTTCAACTACAATGTGAAGTCAGTGCTACTTGATATAGGGATCAGAGACTTGACACCGCGTCATGAAGAGCACTTCGAATTACACACCTCAATCAACAGCTGTCTTTGGTCAATAATATTCAAGATCAGATGGCAAGCAAGAAAAGATGAGCAACGCGGAGGGATTTCTGGAAGCCGATGGTGCAACAACTGATGTCCGCCAATGATCGAACTTGAAACAACCTAACTCTACACAATTCTAAGAATTTGGAGAAAACTATCACCTATTTATATATAACACCCGGAAGGTAATACCAGTTCACATAAGATATGTATTTAAATGCATGTACTAATTATTATCATCGGTCGGTCAGTTTTCGATACAGAACTTTGCACCGATGTGCGGCAGTTCAAGTCGCCAAACTCCACGTAGCACACAAAGCAAGAGAAGAAAGTAGGGGAAATGCATATTAGAGACAGTAAACAGAGGTGTGAGACAAAGGAATAGTAATAACGAAAAACAAAACAGTTTCACTGGAACTCATAAGTCACAAGGAGTGGATGCATCTGCTCCAGCCATTGAGAACGATTTTGAGCCATATCACCAACTGTTTCCAGCCGTCATTGGTTTTTACCGTTCTGATGACCTCAACCAGAGAGTCTACACCTCCCTACGTGGCTGGCTGGCTTAAACTAAATGCTGTGGATTTCATTGACTGATGAGGCCATGTTTTGATTTGACCGCCGCTAGCTCTTTTCCAGCCTGACCCTATATCAGCTAACATTGCCCGTCAAGGAAGGCGATTAATGGCTAGACATGCGTAACACATGTCCTAACCATCTCAGTCGATGTAATTTCACGGTCTCGTCGACTGATTTCCCCGCCTTACCTAGCACACGACGCCTAACCTCAATATTGCTCACCTTATTATACCACTTCACACGGGAGATAGAACGTAGACACCTATGATCGAAGACAGCTAATCTTTTCATGTCTTCCGCCCTCAGTGGCCAGGTCTCACAGCCATAAAGGAGGATGGAGCGGACTGTTGAGCAGTACACACGCCCTTTGGTCGAAAGTAGGATATCACGTCTACACCAGAGACGGCGTAAACTGGCATATGCGAAACTAGCCCTCTGTATTCGTGCTGATATTTCGTCTGAGATCAACCCGTTGGCGTTGGCTGATGGTACTTCCCAAGTAAGTGAAGCGGTCAACGTGCTCTACCACTTCACTTCCTATTTCTAATCTAGGGGTCGCATTATTATCATAATCAATATATAGTAAGCAAATGCTTAATCCGCGTGACAATATTTCAATATATATATATATCACATATAAAAGGACATGTTAGAACTAGTATAAGAGGAATGTGTACGAAAACCTCTTAAAAACAGAAAACACTTCTAGCCTTCTAATAGGTAATGTAAAAGTGTGTGTGTGGAAAACATTTATTAGTAATTGTTTTCAATAAGACCAATAGTCATCGTTACAACACGTTAGCAAGACTTAAGCATGATTGAGAAAATACCTCATATATATGGAGATCATAAGTTTCTTTACAAACTATAGAAATTCATTGTTATGAGCAGAAAGAATAATATGCAGATAGATGGATAGACAAGCTAAACCAAATAGGACTCAGTATTATCGTATGATGACGATGTGTCCCAACTGGCAGCCACACCTCATATCCACATAATACACACACATATATATGTACATACTAGAACACGGGTGATAACAACAAAAAAGATACAACACAAAAACGGAGAGAACCGAAAACTTTAAAAAAAATTATTATACAACAGAGGTGTGTATAGAATAGGTGACGTGTGTAATGAATGATTTTGCTTGAAGAAGTGTGACATGCGATTAAAACACATACACACTTACACACACTCTCTCTCTGTTTACTTTTGTCACACAACAAAAATCCTCATTATATAATAATTAGTACAGAAATATATTTTAACCATTAGTAACATTTTTTTTAAAAGTGCCATTTGACCCACTACACTTAAAACAAAAAACCAATACTTGAAAATTGATCTGATGCTCACTAGCGACTGGCTCTTATTTAGGCAGTTACCTGGCGTTCAAGCGGGAAGCTGTGACCAGTAGGGTACAGTAGGTTGAAGGTGGGGACAGTTACTCATCGAAGAAGACGTTGCGAAGTGATCGCGCTGTGTTGTGAATTGGCAGAAGTTAGAATTCATAGGCTGACCATTGGATCGGGTGGGTCCCAGTGGCTTAATGATCTACGAACTCGCTAGCCTTGTAACCAGAAGGTCCTGGGTTCGAACCCCGGTGGATGCGTACTGATGAAGAGTCCCAAAACCAGGATGAAACAGCTGTCCAGCACTTACAGGTTTTCTAATGGTTCTCTAACTGATGTCAGCTCATGACGAAATCCTCCGAACAATCAAACAAAATCCCTACAAAACCAATACTTGGAAATAAAAATCAACTAGACGTTAAAATGAACCACAGAGATTGAAATTGTTGGCGGCCTACTTGAAACTTGGGCTGCCAACAACCCTCTCCGTCATCATTATATTGTATATGATTTCGCTGGCTCAACTAGTTTGTTTGTTTTAATCTATTAAAATATAACCTCTAATAGGTATGACTTAAAATGTTTACAACTTGCTGGGTTAATTTACAAGTTTCTACTAAACTTCAGAGAGAGAGAAAAAAGAAAGCATAATTGTAGGTGGCAATGTATCCAAATACATAAAGAGATAAACTGTTCTTGTGGTATATTCTTCTGTCTCAAAATGTACTCGTGAAGATTTTTTATAAATATTGATTTTCGCTTCAGATTAAATGACAGTGTGTCTTACAATCTACGAATCCCCATTGATCACAGGTACTCCGGTGGGGTCTATGGATGGATTGATTCGCGGTGAAATCTAACAACTGAAATTAAATTAATCCAAATGCCCACCAGCCCCATAATCTAAGTATATATGCATCAATGGCAACATCGAGTCTTCAGAATTCTTAACCAATCACGTCTGAGTAGTCAGTCATGAATAGTCATCAAAAACAAAACTAAAATAGACAATTGAAACGTTGGAATTATTTATTCCAATACAAATATATAATTGTCATGATTTCTTATGGACTGACTTCATTCAGAGGACTGTTGAAAATCAAGAGGAGCGCTAGAAAACTGTTTCGTCCTTCTTTAGGAATACTTCATCAGTAACTCCACTTATGACACCATTAGTGATCGAACCCAAGACCTCTGAACAGTAATAACAATGGCTGGCACGCAACCAAGTTATAAAATATAGCGAATTTGCAGCAGAAGTTGCAATTCATGAGCCATTGGATTCCATCTATACTTAAACGAGCTTACACATTTTATCACCCGAAAGTTACTACTAACTAGGGTTCGAAAACCCTAGTAGAGTGTGAGGTTATGCATAGAGAACACACACTGTTTGCTGAAGATTCTGTTTCAAACGAGAAAGAAACAGTACAGTCCAGTCCAGTACAACAACGCTGATTGTCTAACTGAAGTCAGTTAGAATGATCGATCAATCTTGAAACCAAACAAATCTCTACAAGGCTAAATTCTAATTTTCACTTTTTTTTATTCCTTCACGTTCCCAGTGGAACATATGGCTTCAAGCTGGAGGCTTGAAGTTTCTGTAGCAGTGTTTATTTTTACAGGATGTGGTTGCTAGCCTCATTCCCAAGCTTTATTTCTGGTTAAGCGAGGCAAAGGAGTGCGTCGGCCGGGGGTCGAACCCCGGACCATGTGCATGGTCGGCGAGCGTCCTAACCGCTGTGTCACCGACGCACAAATTTTCACTTAGCACCCATTATATATTTTTTATGGAACTATTCGATCCAACTCTTGATCAGATAGAGGAGTTTGTATTAGATATGAAAATGTTTCATTTTTTGCTTTTCATAAAAGTTCCTATATACAATCAATTGCGTCATTCGTATTACTCTCTCAGCAGGTTTTTATGATAGAACAACTGAAGAGATCCATTTATTGGGTTGGGTTGTGTTGTGTTACTTCGGTAAACGTGTACATATACACACATACACACGCACTTACAGACACACAAACATTGGCAAAACTTTTGTTGTGTATAATAAAGTAGGTGGGGAGGGGCACTTACGCAGGAATAGACGGTGGTACTAATGGTGGATAATTGGTCATGGAGTTTAACAGCCCAGCAGATGAAGCGGAGTCGTTTGTTGCTATAGCATACATGTCGGCTGGATATAATCGTCTGCAGTAATGCATATATACATACAGTAGTGGTGATGAATAGTACAAAAGATAGAAGATTTGTGCATAAAATTGCGATGATAGGAAGGCGGCAGTAGCGGCATCAGTAGGTGGGGCAGTGATCGTAGTACAGATGTGCATTGGACGACGACGACGACAAGAACAACAACAACATGGAGACGTGCAAAATGAACAACAAAATAAAGGCTATTTAATTTATACAAATATATACAACAACACATACAGAAAGAAGAAGAAGAAAAGTTGAACAACAATTATAACTAAATGCAATTATTCACAACACAACACAACAAAATGTGAAATAGTGCATAGATATGGACTAATTGAATTTACAACAAACAATTATGTGACGACAATAGTGCAACATTGGAAAATAATCACAAATACTGATACACACATTCATACATACACCTACAATATACATAATCAGATGTGCCAGAAGGTGCAATTACATCATAACTCATATTTGATGTAATAATATAAGAGAGTACATGAGTGTATATATCTATGACTGACTGAAGTGATGTGAGATTACTTTTAATCACCAGTTCGTCCAAGAAGAAGCAAGTTTCAGACATCGGCTGGTTTGAAATGATTCGGTTCCCTGAGCTGAGCTGAGTTAAACTGAGCGCATCGCTGATGAGTTCGTACCCAAACGAGCGAAACGATCATGCGATGTTTACACCACCCTAATATAAGACTAGATATGACTACTGGCTGGTATGAGTACTATCCAGCTACTACTCATCAAAATCGATCAGTAGTATATAGTTTTATGCACTTATATTGAATCATCTCCTTTCGAAATACTTCTTTCTCCTCATACTTACTTTACTAGCATACTTATGTATATTCTGTTCTTTAACAGTTGTCTCGTTTCTGTCTTATAACTGAAGATTTGTCCAAATCGTGTTAATGCTGATTACAAAACTGTCTTCTTACTGTTCACAAGACTATTTATCAACAAAAATGGAAGATGGCACATATATATATATATATATATAACTCACTGAGGAATGAGTGGTGAAGGTAATTGTGGAGCACCTGCTTTCCCAGGCACTGAAGGTGCTTGTCTAGGAGCAGAACCTTTCACTGAACCCGTACTAGTTGAATTCCAACCACCTGGTGGTGGAGGTGGTGGTCGACGATTAGCTGTTGGACTTGGAGGAGGTGGACCTGTTGATCCAGGAGCAGTTAATCCACCTGAACTATCACCACCCTATAATATGATTATAATAAAATTGAAAAGAAAAAGTTAGAAAATAAACATTCACGTGTAGGTGATCAAATATTTCATTTTTTAAAAATTTGGTTTTATTCAACTACAGGCGGCACTGATGCAGATTTCGAAACCAGAAGCGGGAAGGCAAATCAGAGCTTGGTCAGTCTGAAATCAGTGTAGCAACCTGCTCTACTCAACGTAATGAACAAAATTTGGATTTTCAACACCAGTGTTAAGTTAGTTAGTTCTTCTCCATGGGTCAGAAACATGGCACGCCAATTAGTCATCCCTTCTAGGTTACACACCTTACATTACGTAATACGCTTTTCGAGGACGAATTTTACCAGTATCGGATTGGTCTTATGATTTCTATGTGTTTGCAGAGCTTCTTGACCTTTTCTCTTTAGGATACATAGCGTGGGTTTGAGCTTTTGGATGGCTAGTGCCTCGGCTATGCCCAGATGTCTTAATTTTACTCCCTTTGATAGGTTCGATCGAATTTTGTATATTATTTAAAGGATTTTTCGAATGGCGCTGAATTTCCTGAATTGACCAGATGTTCTGTCACTGAACTATATACCCGTTTTTGTTCTCCTTTTACTAGCCAGGCTGGATAGTGTTCACGAGCGCGTTTTTCAAGTTGGCGCATGGTACGACTGAGGTACTCAGCTCTGCAAGAGCAAGTAAACTGGTATATGCACGTTGAAGTGGCCCAATGCGACATCCAAACATCCTGTCTATTGTTGTTACTTCTACATTTCTAACCCCTAATTGCACAATCAATGTCAATCTTCTCAGTAATTATGATGCTACTTTGTCTGAGCTTTATCCGTCCCCCTGTTTATGTTGTGGCATTTTAATTCCTAATTGGAATTCTATTAATCTGACCCTTGACCAGAAATTATTCTGGAACTTTCCTACCCATTTATTATAAATACACAAATGTACAGCCTAGTTGATGATTTCGTCGAAAGGAAAATTTTCTTCGCTGCAACTGTTTCTTTATTATTCCCTATGATCAAATGTGTATATTCCGTGATTTGAAAAATCCACGATTGTTAAAGCAAGACAAACCTTCAGCACTCCGAAATCACTTTAGACATCTTTTGCAATCGGCGTAAAGAACAAAATTCAGAGTTTTAACACTTATGTCAAGTATGTTTCTTCTTTATGGTTCGGAAACTTGGCGTGTCACTAAAAGCATTTCCAACAGCCTGTTGCAGGCTTTCATCAACAGCTGCCTTTGCTCCATACAGTGAAGATTAAATGGCAGGCCAGAAAGAATTGGCGACAAGAAACTATGGAAATAAACCTACCAAGAATCTAACGCTCAGCAAATAGGCAGGAGAAAATGGAGACAGATCGGACACTCACTGAGGAGAACATCGAATCACACAGCGTGTCAAGCATAATCTCTAGTGGAACCCAAATAGGAAATGACGAGTGGGGCGGCAGCTTCGAAGGTGATATGGATGATATTGTGAGACGAAGAGATAAGAGACTATGGGGAATCCTGGGGTCAGCTGAAGAGGACTAGAGAGAACAGGGTGAAATGGAGATGTGGTGTTGAAGCCCTATGTTCCACTCTAAACCCAAAGGGACAATAATAATAATAGTAATTTGTTTCCATCCAATCAATTCCTTTTAGTTTACACACAAGAAGTGAATAGGTAGAGTGGATTCGAACCCAAGTCAACGTGGTTCCTTCATATCCAATATACTACACACCTTGAGCAACAATCTTCGTATGTTTGGCATGCGACTCGCCCCTGTAAAATGTAAGATGATGCTGCAGGATTGGACTTCACCGACCCCTAGATTAGAAATAGGAAGTGAAGTGGTAGAGCACGTTGACCGCTTCACTTATTTGGGAAGTACCATCAGCCAGTGCCAACGGGTTGATCTCCGACGAAATCTCAGTACGAATACAAAGGGCTAGTTTCGCATATGCCAGTTTACGCCGTCTCTGGCTTAGTAGACGTGATATCCGACTACCGACCAAAGGGCGTGTGTACTGCTCAACAATCTGCTCCGTCCTCCTTTATGGGTGGCTGTGAGACCTGGCCATTGAGTGCGGAAGACATGAAAAGATTAACTGTCTTTGATCATAGGTGTCTGCGTTCTATCTCCCGCGTGAAGTGGTATGATAAAGTGAGCAATATTGAGGTTAGGCGTCGAGTGCATGTAAGGAGGGGAAATCAGTCGACGAGACTGTGAAATTACATCGACTGAGATGGTTGGGACATGTGTTACGTATGCCTAGTCATCACCTTCCTCGACAATGGGCAATGTTAGCTGATATCGGTCCAGGCTGTAAAAGAGCTAGCGGCGGTCAAACGAAAACATGGCACCAGTCAATGAAGTCTACAACAGTTAGTCTAAGCCACGTAGGAAGGTGTAGACTTCCCGGTTGGAGTCCTCGAGACGGTAAAAACTAATGGTTTCCAACCATTGGTGACATGGCTCAAAATCGTTCTCAATGGCTGGCACAGATGCATCCACTCCTTGTGACTTATGATTTCCAATGAAACTGTTTTGTTCTCCGTTATTACTATTCCTTTTGTGTCTCACCTCTGTTTACTGTCTATATTATGCATTTCTCCTACTTTCTTCTCTTGCTTTGTGTGCTACATGGAGTGTGGTGACTTGAACTGCCGCACATATGTGCAAAGTTCTATGTCGAAAACCGACCGACCGACCGACAAACACACCTACACACACAAGCACACCCCCGCATGTATGTCTCCTGAAAAATAGCTAATCGAAATAAATAGTCAATACACCGGAGCATAACAATGCATATGAATGCAACAGAATTTAGGGTTAACACAGTGTTTCAAATGACCTGAACATAAATAATCATAAATGACTTGACTATTCATTCAAATTAAATTAAAACTTATATCACATATAATAATAATAATAAAACAACGGAAATAAGAGAATCAATGAGATGGAAATATTACATCAAAAGACAGTAAGTAAAACACAGAAACAACTAAAAATCATTAACTAATATACATAAACGAGATATATGCTAGCTAGATTGAGGTAATCAATCAGTAGGAAGCCATAAACTTAGGATTCATGCTTATTATTAATTACTTATCAGCAAGGTATGTCTACAACCTCGAAGGTACTGATACCCACTCGGAGATTAGAATCCATGTAACTGACTGACTCACTGAGTTCCAGCATAGAGAACTTTGCACAGAAGATTGCCAGCTCGACTTGCCACACTCCATGTACTACACACACGTAGAGAAAAGAAAGATTCACAAAGAGTGAATGCAACTCGCCCATTAAGAACGATATTGAGCCATACCAGCAAAAGTCTTAGCATCCCGAGGACCCCAACCAGGAAGTCTACACTGACCTACATGGCTCAAACACACTACCAGATTTTGAAACAAGCAATAAAGGTTAATAAAGCAGGATGATTAATGAATTCATCAAATTTCGGTAGAACTCATCAGCTGAATACTCTACATACACGGATATATATACTTTTGAAATTACATTGGGACATATAAGACTGATAAGTAAACAAACTACATTGAATTAGTCATGCAGAAAGACAGGTGCGAATGTTTCTTTTCCAGGTCATGTTCAAATAGATAAGGGGAGAGAGAGTATGAGAGATTTAAATTAAGATAAATTGAATTACGCTTCAATTACATCACTTAGATAAACAATTAAACATTAGAGAATATAACAAGAATTGCAAACAGAGTAATATCAATAGTAATGTGGTGAAAGATGGTCGCTAGCCAAATTGGTTGACAGTAATTGAGGTCAAAGGTCAAGGTTGTCAGGCGGATACAGTTAACATGTAGTTGAACTGACACAGCCACAAGATATGCAAGGTTAACCTTGCGACAGAAACAACCAATCAACAGGCTGTATTTTCTACTAACATTGACCTACAATAATGTACATAAAAATCTATAAATACGTGTTGATTTTCCTAAATAAACGATCTGTTGCCTGGCCCTTGTCTTCTGTTGTTACAGTAATAGTTATAATAACAGTAATAATAATAGTGTTGAAGTGAGTTAAGATAATCCTACTGATAAAGGAGAGTTTTAAATGAATCAATAATAATTATAATGATAAGAGGTAGAATTATTAGTAAAACATATTACCATGGTAGATTCAGAGTGATGACCATCTCCTTTTGTACACAGAGACCTGGTTTATAAACTCAAATTGCACAAGCCTCCTCTGCAATTGCAAGCATCTTCTTGTTTCTTTGTCTGCTCTCTGACAATAGTGAATGATTTGACCGCGTCGATATCATGTCCGTAATCCACAAGAAATTTGATGAATTCATTAAATCCTGCTTTATTAACCTTTATTGCTTGTTTTAAATTCGTATCGGGAAATAAATGTTTTCAATACCAGATTTTGGTTTGATCACCTCAAACACCTTTCCAACTTAAGCCAATGTCAGATAACATTACACACGTAGAGAAAGGCAATGACTAGACACGCGCAACAACACATGTCCTAAACATCTCAATCGATGTCGCTTCATAACTCATGTCAATCAGTGTTGCAGTCAGAAACGTTACCAGTCGGTTATTCTAACTCACGACTGATGTGTAATTAAAAGTTAACAATCTATTCTCTTGCGTTCCTAGCAGAACATAGAGCTTCAAGCATGAGGCTTTCAAGTTCCAGAGCAGTGGTGGCTTTACGGAGTGAGATTGCTAGCCTCGCACCCAACATTCCCTGTTCATTTGGCTTACAACCGGATAAGGCAGGCAAAGGAGTGCACCCGCTGGGACTCGAACCCAGGGCCAAAGGTGTTGTTAGATAAAATCCCACTGCTGAACTACAAACGCACTCCACGATTAACATATGAGGTGTAATAACTTACGTCTTGATACATTATGAGTACCAAGACATTCACCACACAAAAACTCAGTTTGTGCGAGGGCTGGGATATTCCCCGATTGTCCAATAAGATATATAATATGAATGAAGTTAAATAAAAGACAAGAATTTCGACGCTTACTTGTAACCATTCATCGTTCACTGGTGGTGGAATTGGTGTGGACACAGTAGACATTGACACTTCACTGATAATATTCAATGCCTCTTTCATAGCATCATAAACACGAACCATTTCATCGCGTTTTTGTTGAACAACTAATGATTCAGACATGAGTGTATTCTACAAATAAACAAACAAATAATATTCAAGAGTTAGTTAGCAGGGGTTTGAATTATTTGAAGATTGATCATAATGAACTGACTTAACAGTTAAAAAACCATTGAAAACCAGAGTGTACTGGACAGCTGTTTTCACCCTTGTCCCGGACTCTTCATCAGAACACACCCAAGACCTTCAGGTTACAAGTCGAGCTCGTTGATCATTCAGCCACTGGGACGGAATCCAATCGCCCATCAATTCCAACTTCCGCTAATTCGCGATAAAGAGCACGACTGCCAGCCGATGTAATCATCTAAAGGTCCTCCGATGCGATCACTGGCGGAGTTATGCCTGAATCCTAAACAAGATTGAAACAGCTGTCCAGTACTCCTTGGTGTTCAATGGTTCTCTAAGTGAAGTCAAATCTTGACCAATCTTGAAATTATCAAGTGTTTGTGGTTTGCAGGGATTTGATTACAGGGTTACAGGAGTGATCACCAGCTGACATCAGTTAGAGAAACACTGAAAACCAGCTGTGAGTGCTGGACAGCTGTCTTCTCAGTTTGAGACTCTTCATCAGTACGCATCCACGGCTAGCGTTCGAACCCAGGACCTTCCGATTATGAGGCGAGCTAAGTCACTGGGATTGGTTACAGGATTTCATCATGAGCTGAGATTGGTTAGAGAACCATTGGAAAACCAGCTGGGAGTACTGGATAGCTGTTTCGTCCTAGTTTGGGACTCTTCATCAGTACGCACCCACCGGGGTTCGAACCCAGGACCTTCTGGATACAAGGCGAGCTCCCTACAAACCAATACTTGAATAAGTCACTGGGACCCAACCCAGTGGTCCATGAATTCCAACCTCTGACAATTCGTGATATATATTTAGCGCAACCGCCAGCCAGTGGTCACAGACGAGTAACTGTTCTCTTGCCTGAATTGGTGGACCCCGCTGGTTACAACTTCCCTGGTAGAAATCTCTTGAAATCAATCAATCAAACAAACAAACTTTCAGCTATAAACAATTACATGGTTCCAGGGAACAACGAACTTCCTAATAGAAACATAAGATTCTATTTTCACCGAAAGGCTTAATTCAAAAAAGAAAAAAACTGGAGGATAAATTAATCTTTTTAACATAAAACTTAAAAACACAATCACCATCAGCCTATGAAGAAAAAAGAATACATTATAATAAATAAATGGAAAATGTCTAAAGTAACACAGGAGACAATAAGACGAGAGAAAAAAGAAGGTGAGGGTATTTATGCCTGATAGGCATTTATTTATTTATTCATTTTTGTCGTTCATCTTACCAAATCTCCGGCTTGATATAAATTTGGCAATAATTCACCTTTCAGAAATCCTTTAATCTAAATGAAAAATTGCAACAACAAAAAAAGAAGAAAACAAAAGTGAAAAGACAAGAATTTTGGCTAAATATGTATCAGTGTAAAAATCATCATAATTTAATGCAACAAAATATATATAGAGGCAGCGGAAACAGGACTCCAGGTGGACATAGAGAAGACGGAGGTGATGAAGATAACCAACCACCACCAACAGCAACAACAAACAGCACTATTCACCATCAAAGGGAGAGGTATGACAGAGGTTGCCTCCTTCACTTATCCGGTTAGGAAGCACGGTTTCAACCACAGGCGGAACGGACGAAGATGTCAAAGTCAGCCATAATCGGAAAGGCAAGATACGTTTTCATCAATCTGAAACCAGTTTGGAAATCTTCTGCTTTACTCAGCCAGCATAAGGAACAAGATTCGGATTTTCAACACCAATGTCAAGTCGGTCGGTGAGAAACTTGGCGAGTGCGTCACGACAAGGATTTCCAACAGGTCGCAGAATTTCATCAATAGCTGCCTTCGTTCCATACTGAAGATCAATTGGCCAGAAAGAATAAGCAACAAGAAACTCTGGCGATGAACAAACCAACAAGCAAGAGCCGATCGCTCAACAAATATGTAGGAGAAAGTGGAGATGGATCGGGCGTACAGTGCAGAGACCGTTAAATGACTGTAATGTTGGGATTCAGCAATCCATAACAGATTTCTCATACATGTATCAGCCTACGAATAACACGTATTGTGTGAGGCCCGCCGATAATATTTAGTAGCACCGATTGAGCGGGATTCAAACAGAGGCCCCAATGGCTGAAAATTGAGTGCTTAAACCAAAGACCCAGATCCCCATGAATTGGAACTCTGACAGTTGATAATATTTCCAGTCTGATAAACAACATCCAGGTTGCGAAGGCACACCAATTGAGACGGTGAGGACACGTGCGTAGCTCATGCTAAGCAACCGTCTTCCTCAGTGACTAATGTTGGTTGACATCGAATTAATTTGGAAAAGAATTAGAGGTGGTTAAACGAAAGCCTATTATCACTCCATGAAGACTTTGATAGTTGATTTGAGCCACCCAAATAGGGAGGTGTAGATTGCCTAGTTAGGGTCCTTGGGATGCTAACGATCAAAGGCTTGAGATCAAGGCACTCTACTCGAACTCATGCAGCCAGTCAAGTAAGAGCTTACGGTGAGTTGTCATCTGAAGTGGTGACAACTAGTGGTGTCCGTCAGGGATGCCCACTATCCCCATTTCTATTCAATTTCATCATAGATGTACTAATGGAATTAACCCTAACTGACTTCAGCGACTCAGGGATTGACTTGTTACCAGGAAATAATCTCGTTGACTTAGAATACGAGGATGATATAGTCCTTCTCGGTGAAGACGCCGATAAAATGCAGTCTTCTGAACACCTTGAGCTGCAATCTGCGAATGTTTGGCATGCGATTCCCTCCCGCTAAATGTAAGATGATGCTACTGGACTGGACTCCATTGACTCCTAGTATAAGGATAGACAGTAAAGTGGTTGGTAGCGCGTGCTGACCACTTCACATATTTGGGAAGTTGCATTAGTCCCAACGGGTTGATCTCTGATGAAATCTCAGCACAAATACAGAAGGCTAGTTTCGCATATGCCATCCTCCTGCATGGCTGTGAGACGTGGCGATTGAGAGTAGAGGACATAAAAAGGCTGGTTGTCTTTGATCATGGGTGTCTGAGTTCTATCTCCCGTATGAAGTGGCATAATAAGGTGAGCAATATTGAGGTTAAGCTTCGGTCGAGTGCTAGGTAAAGAGGGGAAATCAATCGACGAGGTTGTAAAGCAGCTGCATAGATTTGAGATGGTTAGAACATACGTTACGCATGCATGCCTAGCCATCGTTTTCCTCAATAACGGGTAATATCAGCTGACAAAGGATGGATCAGGTTAAAAAAGAGCTAGAGGTAGTCAATCCAAAACACGGCCTCATCAGTCAATGAAATCCACAACAGTTAGTTTAAGCCAGCCATGTATGAAGGTGTAGACTTCCTGACTAGTTGGAGTCCTCGGGACTGTAAAAACCAATGACTGGAAAAAATTGGTGATATGGCTCAAAATCGTTTTCAATGGCTGGCGCAAATGCATCCACTCCTTGTGACTAATAATTTCCAATGAAACTATATTGTTCTTCGTTATTGCTATTCCTTTTGCCTCATATCTCTGTTTACTGTCTATATTTTGCATTTCTTCTACTTTCTTCTCTTGCTTTGTATGCTACATGGAGTGTGGCAACTGGAACTGCTGCACATCGGTGCAAAGTTCTATGTTGAAACCAGTCAGTCAGGCGTGAGACGGTTGATGATATGGTTCAATGGCGAAGATATATATTCACTCTTTGTGGTCTTCCATACCCAATGAACCTTCATGTTTTTCAATGTTACAATTCTCTATCCCTCTAATTTCTGCTTATTGTAGTTCTTTTACATCTCCTTTTCTCTATTTCCTTTGTGTGGCAAGTTGAACTGGTACACTTCTATGAAAAGTTCTACGTTGAAAGCGGTCAGTCAGTCAGCCGACTGATCAACCAAAGAATGAAACAACATAGAATACAATAGAGATCCGAATTTCTGTACAAACTCTTCAGTTAAATACCCCATAGTGATTAAGCCGGTCATTTTCGCAGACGGATACTTACAAATAGCGAAAAGTTAATTTGCATTATGAAAACTTAACTGACAGGATTCAGCTAAACACTAAGAACTAAATACGTCAAATTGTTTCCACCCTAGACACCAAACAATATAACCATCACAGTCCTACAGGCGGTCGATCAATCGTGAGCCTCAACACCTCTGACTGCAGCACTAGATCACATGACTTCCAAACTCAGAGAGGATATCAGTTCCTTCAAGACTGACTGACTGGCTCAGTGCTCAGCGTGGAACTCTGCACCAAAATGCACCAGTTCAAGGTATCACACTCCACATAGCACACAAAAGTAGAGGAACTATAATGAACGGAATTGTACGGAGAAAAGAATAAGTATATGAAGGATAATTAACCTCTGAAGGAACTAGAAATTCACGAAAAGTAAATGCATCTACAAAATTTGCAAATGATTACAGACATATCACCACGTCAGACTCTGAGTGCCTAAAATCGATTAGGGTAACAATTATGATGAAATTAAACAAAATTGGAGATATTGATCAACCGTGGCGGACGCCACTTGTTGACATCACTTTCGATAACAAATCTCCCATAAGTTATTACACGACTGTATAAGTTCAAGGAGAGTGTCTTAATTACTGCGACATGATTTCCCTCCACGACCAAACATTGCAGCAGCACCTCCCGGTAGATAGAGTTAAATGATGTCTTCAGGTTAAGAAACACGACAAATGTTAGACGGCGGTAAGCATGCCTATATTCAGCAATCTGCCGAAAATATAATCATTACATCCTCGTCCAGGCCTGAGGCTTGCATGGTTAAATCTCCCAACTTTGCATATAGACCAAGAGCTTCTAATCATCCAACATCAAAATATTTTCTCTTGAATTAACTCTTCCACTATTGGGCAAACAGAGTGCTCGATTCATCACAAATTCATCAAGAGTATGACTTGCTTCCTCTCTTTACTCTTTCCCATCTTTTTTCTCTCATTTCCATTAATTAAAATCGATAAAAAAAGGAACCAATCATCAGAGAAACAAATAACGGAAAGAAAATTAACTATTTTAAAATTTAAAAAATTACCTCATTAACAAGCATATGCATTAGTAACTTTGGTACTAAATCTAATTGTGTTTTAATTACAATCTTCATATAAGAATCAACTAAATTACGAATAATTTCTACTTGACGTTCAAGTTGTGGTTCACTCGATTCTAGTGATATATTGTCAGCTTGCTAAATAGGGAGAAAAATAAAAATCAACAAAATTACAAGATAAAGGTTGTTATGAGCTAATTTTTTTTAATAATCTAAAAATAACCATATTTTCGTAGGCTCACCAAGCTAAGGCTAAGAATACCTTTTAACGATTGGCTGCTAGAGGTAATTCAATTAAGGACGAATTTGATTGGACAATATTTGAAGCTTGACCTTATGCAACAACCAATCGAATTTGTAATTTACTGACTTAGCTTTCTGAGTACTGGTAATGCAGATATAAATTTTATAGTGTATTTTTTCTAAAGAAGTGAATAGTTCTCATCTCACTCTTAGACCAATTAGCCTACTGCTTTCTTGATTGATTTCTGAGAGTCAGAAGCAATTGGCATTCGTGTCTTTAGTCGAGTTACCATCTATAGCTTTACTATAGCGCAGAAATATTATTCTTGCCTATAATATCAACACATCATCAAACGTAAGTGCAATTTCAACATTATTCAACAAAATTATTCAGAATTTTACATGAAAAGAATATCAAAATGAGTCAGACTACAGTGTACAATTAATAATAGGAATAGAAGTAATAGTAGTGTTCTCATGCCTCTGATTTAGCCTTATTTCTTGGCCTACAACCTTAAAATGTCTTTATTTTGCAGATATCGCGTACTCATGCAGCCTATTTAGTATTTCCCACTCTTTCTGAAGGTAGACTAATGGGATCCTAGTAACAATAATAATATTATTATCCCCTTGGTTTCCGAGTGGAACATAGGGATTCAACAACACATATGCACTTTGCTCTATTTAGTGTTGTCCTCTTCAGCTAGGTCCACGATTGCCCATAAGCTTTCATCTCCTCCCCTCACGATCTCCTCCATGTCAACCTCGCACTCACGACACACTCGTCAATTCTCATTCGGATTCAACTCGGGCGATGACCTGCATTGAGCGCGATGTCATTCGACGGCCTCCTCAATGTATGCCCTACCCATCTCCACTTTCTCCTACATATTTGTTGAGCGATCGGCTCTTGGTTGGTTTGTTCCCAGTTTCTTGTTACTTATTCCTTCTAACCATTTGGTCTTCAGTATGCAGCGAAGTGGGTAGATGTTGATAGAAGTCTGCAACCTGTTGAAAATCCTTTTCATGATACGCAGTGCAAGGTTCTGACGCATACAGAAGAACTGACTGGCTTCACATTTGTGTTTAAAATCCGAATCTGGTTCTTTATGCAGAGTTAGTGCAGAAGATTTCCAAACTAGTTTCAGGTTGATTAAGGCACATCTTGCCTTTCCGATTCTGGTTGACTGGCTTTGACATCTTCACCCATTCCGACTGCCTGTAGTTGAAACCGTGCTTCCTGGATGGATTAGTGAAAGAAGTAACGTCTGTATAACCTCTCCCGTTGATTGTGATTGGTGCTGGTTGTTGTTGCGGTTCGTTGGTTATCTTCATCACCTCCGTCTTCTCTATGTTCACCTGGAGTCCTGTCTTCGCCGCCTGCTTCTTCAGCCAGTTTGTTGGTTTTCGTCTGCCTGCAAGTCTTCGAGTTTGTGTGACAGTAAACATAAATCATCCACACGGGAAATCCAGACCTTCTAAAATCTGCTTATCGGTCCAACATATTCGTGTCTTCTCACTCTCTAAAGTCTGACACATAATTCAATCCACTACAATTAGGAATATCATCGGTGATAATAGGCAGCCAGCCTTCTCTTCCTCCAGTATTCACTTCAAACGCCTCCGTGAGTTTCTCAATGTGGATTACACGTGGCATTGTCACATAGCTAGCTATTTAATGAGGTTGATAAACACCTGAGGTACGCTGTAGTATTGAAGTAGTTTCCAAATTACTTCTCGATCAACACTGTCTGTCGAAGGCCTTTCCACAGTCGATGGAGTTACGGTACAGTTTTGACTGCCATAACAATAATAATAATAGCAGCTTTATTCGACACAAAAGTTTTACAAAATATATAGAATTCTCAGCGTAATTTATTTTAAAATATATTCTCTTCAGCCAGGACCTGAAAATATAATAGCAATCTAAAGAAAATCACGTGACATAATGTTCTTTTGTTCTGAAGAATAAAATAGTCTCCTTATGATATTTTCTATAGTTTGGTTTGTAAGGGTTAGTTATGTTTTTACGAGTTGATCACGGATTGATATCAGTTAGAGAACCATTGAAAACCAGGGAGTACTGAACAGCTGCTGTTTCATCCTAGTTTGGGAATCATCGGCAGTACGCACCCACTGGGATTCTCTAACTGATATGAATCCGTGATCAACTCATAAAAACATAACTAACCCTTACAAACCAAACTATAGAAAATTAATCTGATGCTCGCTAGTGACTTCCTACAGGATGGAGGTTCCTGGAGTTCTAGTGAGAAGTCGTGACCAGTGAGGTCCAATTAGATGTCACGTGTGTGGATGGATGTCCCACCAACGACAATGGTTGGGGTCGTGCTAAATCACGAATTGGTAGAAGTTAGAATTTATGAGCCATTGAATCGGGTCCCAGTGGCTGAATGGTATACGAGCTTGTCTTGTAACCGGAAGGTCCTGAGTTCGAAACCTGTCAGTGGGTGCGTACTGCCGATGATTCCCAAACTAGGATGAAACTGCAGCTGTCCAGTACTCCTTATGATATTATTTTTTTCTCTCTCTCTTTCATCTCCGAGAAATGCACACCCTGTAGGTTGAAAGTCAATTAAAACTGTGCACGAGTACATTTGGCAACCCATAGAAATAATTGAATGGTTGAAACACTGAGGAATAGAACAAAATTTTATACATTTTGTTTGATGGACATATTTTCAAACAACAGAAAAGGCTTAACTACCAATTTAATTAGTTAATTAATGCACAATATAATCAGATCACTTATACTGTGTAATAATATCTGTTTTTGACTATTTGAGTTCTGAGTGGAACATAGGATTTCGAGTTCCTGAAGTTGCTAGCCTAACAACCAATCTTTCTTCCCTTTCGGGCTTACTACCGCCTACATGAGGTTTACGAGTGCGTCAGCCGGGAGTGGAACCCAGATCTCCCACGTGAATGGCAAACACTCTACCATTGACACTATATTATTGAAGACTAAATTCATTATTTCGTCGTCAGCATACTTTCTATATGTATACAAATCAATAAAAAAGATTAATCGACCCTAATAGTTAATGGTACAGTATAAGCGTTTATTTGTTTCAGTTAGTTTGAATTCCCGACTGACTGATTTATATTGGATAGAAAAGTCAGATCTTAGCAGGGACACCTGCCTCGACGATGTCTATTAGTTTATAGGATGTCATTTCTAGTTAATTTCAGTCTATCAGTGGAATCCAGGACAGGGGCTTCATCCTTTGCGAGACTTGCCAGTTGGATGTGCCTGCAATTCCCCCCAGTGAGTAATGCTTTTCCTACTGAGACTTGAACCTCGAATATATCGTTTCAAATGCCAAAGTTTTATCAACTAAGTCAAAATGACCACCTCTTATGTCATAAGTATGAGTTGTTATTTAGATTCCGCTACTGCTAGTAAGCGTCGATGGCATAGCGGTTAGGACGCTCGCCAACCATGCACATGGTCCGGGGTTCGATCCCCGGCCACCGACGCACTCCTTTACAAGGCGGACTCGTAGATCGGTCAGCCATAGACATCCCAGTCAATGTCCCATAAATCCCAACTTCTACTACAACGAATTAGCCTTGAGTTCTAGTGAGAAGTCGTGACTAATGTGGGGTCCATGAGGTCGGAGTGAGGACAAATACTCACCGATGATATTGGCTGGTGGTCGTGTTAAAAACAATAATTGATAGAAGTTGGAATTCACGAGCAACTCAATCGAGTACCAGTGGTGACTGACTGACTGGTTTCAACATAGAACCTTGCACCGATGTGCAGTGGTTCGAGTCGCCACACTCCACGTGGTTGACCGATCTACGAGCCTGCCTGGGTTCGAACCCCTGTGGGTGGATACTGTCAATGAGTCCCAAACTAGGAAGAAACAGCTGTCCAGTACTCTCTGATAAGTTCCAATGGCTCTCTAGATGACATCAATCCGTGACCAAACTTGAAGAAAGGTATCACTTTAAAAAAAGTTAGGAATTATAGTCAAGACGATTGAAAAGGAATTCGTTAAGTAGTTTTAAATCACAAACCCCAACCAAACAAATTAAATTTGTTAGCAACTTGCCGATAGCCACAGCTTGCTGGCATACACTTCACCACACAAACATGTGAGAGCAGACATGTATAGCGCGGTGTGAATCAATGTTTCGTCATGGTTAATTGATTCATCTTATAATCTCATTCTACACAACTTTGTAGGTCGATCGAAAGCGACAGTGAATTGGCACCCATTCTAAGCGATGCAACCGACAGAGATCCTATAATCACATGAATTGACTTACCAACCTATAGAAATCAACGTTTGAAGAAAGGCGTAACTTCAAGGCATTCACCTATTGGATAGACATGCCTTGCGCAACCCTGGAGGAAGATAAAACTGACTTCTGTGGCATAAAATTCCCCTTTCAATAATAAGTGATGGGTGTTTCTCATCGTTAACACTGTAAGAACAGCTTCTTATAGTATAGTTCAATGATAAACACGACACTCATTTATTACATAACAAGCAATACTGTGTGTGACCATGTGCTAAATATAACAAAATACAAAATATTCCACATTGATATCGCACACAATCCAACAATATTAGTTCATTCCAATATTATACAGAACAAAAGAGCCAACAGAAGAAAAAACAAGACCAACACCATCCACCAAGTAAATTCTATGAATTGTGGTCCAAGAACATCAACCACCTGTCAAAAGATACAACATGACTTCACTCATATCAGTGCATGTAGAGAACTATGGACACCTACTTGACTGTGGGAATGCAGAAATTTTAAATATTTTTATTATAAACACAAGCTATATTACACAATTCATTGTCAGTAATGTCGAAAAGAGCAGTAATAATAATTATTATTATTATTATTATTCCCTTGGGTTCCGAGTGGAACATAGGGCTTCAACAACACATCTACACTTTCTTCTACTTTCTGCTGTCCTCTCCTACTGGCTGGGGGCCCACGGTTGCCCATAATCTCTCATCTGCCCCTCCAACTCACACGATCTCCTCCATATCACCCTCGGACTGACGATCCACTCGTCGCTTCCCAATTCGGATTCCATTCCAATGATGGCCTGTATTACGCGCAATATCATTCGACAGCCTTCTCAATGTGTGCCCGATCCATCTCCATTTACTCCAACATATTTGTTGAGCGATCGGCTCTTGCTTGTTGGTTTATTCATCGCCAGAGTTTCTTGTCGCTTATTCTTTCTGCCTGGCCATTTGATCTTCAGTATGCAATCAGTGAAGGCAGGCAGCTGTTGATAAAACTCTGCAACCTTGCAGTAATAATAGTGATAACTAAACTGTCCCATTAATTAAAAATAGATAATCGTTAATATCAACCTATTTCATTCATCTGCACGGCATCATTTCATCGCTAGGTAGCACAGATAAGGATGTCAAAGCCACCCAGGATACGAATGGAAAGAGAGGCTTTCATTACTATAATATAAATTTGGAAATCTTCTGCATTCAGCACAAAGAACAACATCCCGATCGTCAAAATTATTATCAAATCAGTGCTTGTACTGTATGCTTCAGAGAGTTGGTTCACGCATCACCAAAAGCACTTCCAACAGACAACTGAAAACTTTCACAGCAACAGCTGTTTCCTGTCGATACTGAACATCACATAGCCAGAAGTGTAAAGCGACAGGGAACTCTGACAGGCCGCGAATCGCCCAACAAACGCTTAAAAGGAAATGAAGATGGACTGAACACATTGGAGACACCAGTGAGTGACACTGTGTGCCAGGCACTCGGGTGGACCTCAGATAAGAAACGATGTTTTGAACGTCCAAAGGTGACACGGAAGAGATCACATGAGGAGGAAATGAAAGCTTATGCGCAATCGTGGAGGCAGCTGGAGACGATCGGAGAGAACAGGATGAAATTGGTGATGCGCTGTTGAATCCCTAATGTTCCACTAGGAACTCAAAGGCATAATAATAATGCATTATGAGCCAAACAATCAATATTGATTAGTTCAAGAATAGTTATCATTATATCTATAAATACATTTACAAAAAGAAAGTAAAATAATATATAACATTGTTTGCATACTTCAACTTTTTCTGATTTAGCTTTTGCAGGATATACACCAGCTCGTAGAAATGATGCCTTCCAAGAGTCAACTAATTCAGCAGATTCAGCACACAATTCAACTTGTTTATAATCTTTGTAGACATTACGATTGTCTGGATAGAATAGGGCGAATACATGCTTTTTACCAAAAAATCCTGTTTCAATATCACGAATTTTCAGACCATCCAATAGGAGAACATAACGTTTCTCTTTTTCCTAAAAAAAATATAAGAAAAATAAATAAAACAGAAGTTATACATTAGTAAACTATCACATTTTTTTCTAGAAAATATAAGCTGAAGTGAATTATCAATGCAGAAATTTGAAAACAAACAGTGTGTCAGAGAAAGGAGGAGCATTAGTGTTGCGTGACTGCATAGCCCAAGGGATAGCTGTTTGAGGTCGGCAGTTTGAAGTGGATTTCCGAAATGCGTCCGTACTAAGATCTTACCACCACCACCACAAAGTAAGTCGGGATGTATACAATTATCAAGATCAATCTTTTCTAACTCCTCCGCCCTCTCTAAAGTGAAGAGACAACATAACTGGCTTGCTGATCATTCGAGGGAAACGCCTTGTTGCTATTACATCTCAATTCTCCAACAGTACGATCTTGCCCACAGATCACCAACATACTGTCAACGACTTACACTATGGTGGTAACTATTTTGAACCTATCCGCTATCCAAACGACCTTTCTGGTACGGTAGGACCTGCAGGAACAACATTAGCCTCATTCAATGTAACTTGTTGAGTCATTGCAATAGGCAAGTCTGACCAACAAATCAAGGTAGCAACAGGAAATATAGTGAAACTACAGTACGATAGCTACATGAATAATAAAAATAATAATAATAAGAGTTTAATGAATTCGAAAGATCACAAGGAGTGAACACTTCTGCGCGATTAAGAACAATATTTGAACTATGTTATCAACAGTCTCCAACCAACTGACTTTTACCCACCGGACAACCCTAGAGCAGACAGGTTATAAGCAGCCCTCCATAGCTCTAAATATAGCGCCATCAACTAAAAGCTGATGACAGAAAGCAGTTGTAGCCAAAAACTTTGGTAAATTAAATTAAATCCAAGTATTGGTTTGTAGGGATTTGATTGATTGGTTACAGGATTTCATCATGAGCTGACATTGGTTAGAGAACCATTGAAAAATCAGCTGAGAGTACTGAACAGCTGTTTCCTCGTCCTAGTTTGGGACTCTTTATCAGTACGCACCCACTACGGGGGTCCTGGTTCGGACCCAGGACCTCCTGGTTACAAGGCCAGCGTGCTTGTAGACCATTAAGCCCCTGGGACCCGATCCAATGGCCCATGAATTCTAACTTCTGCCAATTCACGATATAAGGCAACCTTTAACCAATGTCTTCGGCGAGTATTTGTCCAAGCTCGCCTTGTAACCAGAAGGTCCTGGGTTCGAATCCCGGTGGGTGCTTACTGTGATGAGTCCCAAACTAGGACGAAACAGCTCTCCAGTACTCCAAGGTTTTCCAATGGTTCTCTAACCAATGTCAGCTGATGATAAATTAAATTCACTTTACGATGATTCACTAGTTAACAAGTAAATGGCGACACCAACTAACCACAACTTCATATATTTATTCCCCTTTATATGAATTTGAATAAAGCGAGAACAACAGTGGTTTTTGCAGAATAATATGGTATCATCACTTATTTGACTGGACCAAGGAGCGTGTTCTCCGATAGACAAGAACCAACTTAGCTGCAGGATAGGCTCTGGCTAGTGACGTAGTCAAATCTTCTGTTGACTATCGCCGCAATATCGGACAACATAATCTTTGGTGCAGTCAAAAGTCGACAGACACCCTTCTCATGTTAACTCCAACTGTGTTTACAAATTTACGTGTATTTGCGGGAGTAGTTACATTGAGAGATACAGAAAGAATGGCACAGCTCCAATTTTCTGAATATGTACAGAAAAGCCTACGTGTCAAGGGGACAAACTCTTATAATAGTGTCATTACTAGGCACCCTCTTTGATATGGGACATGAGGTGGAAACCACAAAGTCCTTTAAAATTATCAGTCGACAGAAAAGCTCAATTCTCTTCAAGTTTTTCGAAGCAATGTCTATCAAACGTTTGAAACCCGATTTATGTGTTCAGAAAGAAGCAGTTAGCATCAGTGTTTCTTTGCCCATCCTGGAACTGGATGTCTTCACTCTCTCTCTTTCACTTGATTACGCAATCTTTGGCTTTAACTTCACTCCCAACCCCACTTTGATATATTGTAACTTTGCTTGTCTCTTGTTTCTATGATTTGACTTCAACTCAGTACATTGTCACCGAATTTATTTATCACTCGTCATCTTAGGCATCTCTCGTCTTTATTACGTAACTCTTTTACCATTGCATGCATACATTTACTTTGTTTAAACGTCAATTCCCTGTGCAAAAAGTATATAAGCGTAATTTTCTGAGCACTGTTCACTAATTCAGGAACCTCCTGTCAACTGACATCATGTAAAATTTGCAAGTATGTTAAAACTTTCCTGTACATGAAGTTAATAATATTCATTTATTTAGTCTGTAAGCAGGTGAGCTGATGACAAGCCAACGAAATAAACAATGATGGTACCGTATTATTCTGCACAAACCACTACTGTTGTTCTTGTTTTATTCATAACTTGTAACTTGACAACAACACTATGACTAATTTGATATGCCTGAGTTGACAAAAACTATTCAATTATGCAAAAAAAAGATTATTCCAACTACAACTTCCGATAAAATGGAATAATTAAAATTGAGAAAAAACAAAAAAACAAATAAACAGAGAACACTCTACTATTATTGTAGCTGCGTGCTTTACCACAATGCACGAATACAAATACAAATACTACATAACTTTTATTACTGTCCACAGAAACTTAATGAACACTTAACACCTTTCCCCTCTTTTTCTACAAAATTCCCTTCACACTACCATTCACTGATACAGATTATCGTAGCAGTATGGATAGAATTAAGCGTACTATGATTTCTTTCTTATTTACTTCAATCCAGACTTTCCCGTTGACTGATTGGACCAAAATGTCCAGCCTCTGTTGACATGTTGCCTCCTTATGAGGATGCTTTCATGATATCTGATGATTTAACCACATGAATTAATTTGTTAGATAGTAACTACCAGTGGAATCTAGGATGCGCATTTCGTCCTATTTGGGACTCATCAGTCAACTGGATGTACCTGCATTCCCTAGTGAGTGGTGATGGTCTGTCTTCCCACTGAGGCTCGAACCCAGTATTATCCACTAAGACCCCTTAGGCCGAGACAGCCTACGGTTTTTGATTGATTGCACCAAAGTTTTCGTCACTCTGTTGACGCAATGCGCATCGGGAATTTCACTGTTAGTCACTATCCGCTAAATTTCCTAAAGGAAGCAGATATTCGCAAAGCAGAATTACCAGACACCTTGTGGATACGGGTCATTTCGGCAAGATTTCCATCTTCGTCCACAAGATTCTTTCGTATATTAGGTTATAAAATATACTTCATAAGTCGATATTATTGAAGTTTAATGTCACAAAAGCTCGAAGACCTAAAAGCGAAAAACAACAAATTAGGAGAAGAGTCAGGCAGCGAAGACAGGACTTCAACCAAACAAAGAGAAGATGGAGGTGATGAGGATAACCAACCACTATCAACGGGAGAAATTTGAAGGAGGACACTTCCAGGCAGAATCTATTCCACCACAGGCGGACGACAAATATATAAAGATGACAAAACCAGAATCGGAAAAGCAAGACAAATCTCCATTACTCTGAAATCAGCCTGAGAATCTACTGCACTCAACTCAGCACAACGAATAAGAATTGAATTTCCAACAATAATGCCAAGTCCATGGCGTCTCTCTATACGGTCCACCACCAACAAAAGCATTTCCAGAAGACTGCCTACGCACGATACTGACGATCAGATGCCCAGCCAAAAAAGGGTTAGACAATGAACGACCTATTTTTTTTACTCCTTCAGGTTCCCCAGTGGAACATGGGGCTTCAAGCAAGTGGCTTGAAGTTTCTGTAGCAGTGTTTATTTTACAGGATGGGGTTGGTAGCCTCATGCCCAACCTTTCCTCTTCACCAGCATTGTTTCTGGCTTAGTGAGGTAAAGGAGTGCTTCATCAGCCGGGGATCGAACCCCGGACCATGTGCATGGTCGGCGAATGTCCTAACCGCTATACCACCGACGCACTATTACCTATTACCCGAAATATATGCAAAAGACAATAGGAGACAGTTGAGTGACGCATCTCACACGCCAAGCCCTAGTAGGTGTGTGGAAACTGGGTGGAAAACGACGAGTTCGATGTGGGGGTCCAATGGTGACATGGAGGAGATCATGTAAGGAGGAGATATAAAAAGCAATCGTAGGATTTAGCTAAGAAAAACAGCACAGAACAAGATGAAATGGAAATGCACTTGGAATCCAAGGGAGAATAAGCAATAACAAATACTACTGAAATAAAATGGAGTGGATTTTGAACCTTGAACCCATCATATTAAACTGGTAGTCAATTATATATTTCAACCAAAAATCTGTATTGCTTAGCTGTCACACTAAGTACTAAGTACACAGACTATACATAAAGTGTTCATATCACAACATGATTACTAAATTGCTCCCCTGTTACAAGTAGACTACACTGAACTGAAAATTATTCATTCTGAAATGATTTTTATTTTATATTTCTCTATTTATGGACAAAAAGTAATACATTCAATACAAAATGATAACTGATTTGACAGTATTATAAATATATGACATCATATATATATGGAAAAAAGGCTTACTTCATCGTCTTTATACCAGGTTAGTGATTCTGTATTCAATACAAACCAAAAGTCTTTACTACCACCACGAAGTAAGGTGACATTTTGTAAGGATAACCAACCTTTACGAATTACCTGATATATAAGACACATAAAAAAATAAAATCAATGAAATTATTATCATTATTATTATTATCATCATAATAATATAAGTCAGAAAATAAGAACAAATGCATTTGTTAATCAATAATACATATGTAAGTATACAATAGATGGCTGTATTGGTTGGCTTAGTTTAACGCTTAAGTTGTTTACGCAAAAGAGAAGTTTTTTAACGCATTTATCGACAGAAGGACTTATCAGTCTATTCATTTAAAGTAGTAATAATAATGACAGAGCCAATGAAGAAGATATTTCGAAAATGAGAGATATGACATTAGAATTTAATTTGTGGATGGTGACTAGCAGTGGAATCCAGGATAACGCGCATTTCGTCCTATTTGGGACTCGTCATCTAGGTGTACCTGCATTTCCCAGTGAGTGATGATGTTCCCACCGAGGCTCGAACTGGGGAATGCAGGTACATCCAGATGACGAGTCCCAAACAGGACGAAGTGCGCACCCTGGATTCCACTGCTAATCACCATCCACAAATTAAATTCTAATTAAATGTCCAGACATCGTCGAAGCATCTGCACAAGAAGCTGATATGTCAACCTGAGACCGAGCACTTCGGTCCAATCAATCGACGGGAAAATCTAAAATTCAATTAGAGATATGACAGTTTACTTTTTTAATCCTTTGCATTCCGAGTGGAACATAAGGCTTCAAGCTTGAGTTTTGAAGTTTCACTGGCAGTGGTGTTATTCCTATTTTCACGGGGTGAAGTTGCCAGTCTCATGTTCAACCTTCCCTCTTTACCGGACTTACAATCAGCTAAGCGACGTCTAGGAGTGCGTCGGCCGACGATCGAACTCCAGACCAAGTGCGGTACGGTTGGCGAGTATTCCACCCCTGAACTAACGACACACCCAAAATGCATGCATAACGCTCACATCAATCATCAATAGTAGTGGTCGCTTGCTGGTTAGCCAGATCAACAAAGTGATCTAAACACTGTAACGGCTGTTTCGCCCATTCGAGGTCGAGCTCGTCAGCGGTGTGTACCCGGCTTCACTCAGCTCAGAGAGCTCAATCAGTTTAAATCATCCAATTTATGGCTAGCTGCTTGGATGAACTGGTGATACCATGAATCAAAATCACAATTGGTAAATTAATTCGCAATATACTCCATTTGAGGAGGTGATTATTTCACCGTATTTCCCTAAGGAAATCAAGATTATTTACATCATAAAATGTGATCTGGCCGATACCATAAAATGCATAACAAAGGAAACTGTATTGATCCAAAAGACAGGCTCCTGGGATATAAATAAGCACAGTAAATTACTTATTGGGCACTTAGAAGCACCTGATGTCTGAGCATTAAAAGTCTAAAATCAGATACACAGGATAAGTTTTATGTATTGTTGTGGATGGGTGGGCAACCCCAAGCCATCTCTACACAGTAGAAGTTGACGTCTCCTTGAAGTGTCACTGAAAGATAACTTCTTGAGGCAATTCAAAAGTGACTTGTCCATCTCCCTTCAATCACAGACCTAAATACAGACAGTCATCGGTTAAGATTAAGCGGAGAACGTTTTGTAACACTTCTGTTTTCTATGACTTGTGAAAGAACTAGAAAAATCTGGCAAACAGTAGAACTCTGCTCTCACTTTCTCATAGAATAACACGTCGAAAACCGTGTCAAAAGAAAATAATCGAAAAACAATCAAGTAACGTAGTTTTTGTTTAGTGATACATTTTAAAACGAGTGTGCTTACTGTTTTTTTCAAATTAATGGCTACAAGCTACTTTTACGACGCATATGTTATGACACTTTTCTTAACTCACAGCTCGAAAATTTCACATCTTATATATATGTATAATTCACACGAACATCAACAACTGGTCATCACCATTATTATCAATAAGTTTTAAAAAAATATTTGTAAACAAAATGTTTTGTGTATAGTCATGACGTGAGTTACTGACAATGATTTGTAAGTAGTATATTGCATATTATGTCTTCATCAAGGTTACTGAATAGCACAGCGACTGATTAAATGCCAAATAGAAGAAATGAAACATGAAGGGAAGACTAAAGAAGCCGAATACAGGAACATGTGCAAATAGAGATTTTTAATAGAAGGGTTCTTTATTCCGCTATAATTGTACATCAGTTTGTCAATACACAACTCCGCTACCAAATATTACCCTTGTTCTGCTGTTACTAAATGTATACTGTTGCATAAAGGCATAGAAACTGATGGTGTAGCTATGGGTTCCCCATTAGGTCCAATCCTAGTTGATTTTTTTCTCGCTAAGTTGGAGAATGGACCACTACTGAAAGGAGTAATTAATGAGTTGGATTTCTACCGTCGATATATGGATGATATATTTCTGGTTATGAAAAACGAGAATGATGCAATGAACATCCATGACAAATTTAATAATGCCTATTCAGCAATAAACTTTATAATAGAGAAAGAAAGTAATGACAGTATCTCATTCCTAGACGTCTTCACGGCAAGGAAAGAAAATGGCACACTAAGAAGGAGTGCGTATAAGTAATCTACAACAACAGGTCAGTACACTCATTTTTTGAGTTTTGTACGTTTGAAATATAAACATAACTTGATAAAGTTTCTGGTTCATAGAGAGCTAGATAAATCTGTTCAGACAACTGCCCCAATGAGTAGTTTAAGATTATTAGAGAATTACTTAGAAAAAATGATTATCCAGATAAATTCATTGAGAAAAATATGAATTCAGCACCTAGGAGAGTCAGTATGGCAACAGTTCCGAAAAAACCAATGTTCATAAAACTGCAGTTCCTCGGTGACAACATCAGTGAAATGATTACACAGCGCCTGAAGAATGCAGTTAAAAGAGCTTATTATGCAGCAGAGGTACGTTGTCTCTTCACAACCACCCCTATTCTACGTTCGAGAAATACGGATAAACTACCTAAATTTGCCTCCTCTATGTGTATCTACCAGTTTGACTGCAGCTGCGGAGCCAGCTACATCGGGTGTACAATTAGGCAGGTTCATCATCGTATTTCCGAACATCATCCAGCATGGTTAAGCAAGGGACAAACAAGATCTATTCGTAGCTCTATATTAGCACACCTTGTAGATAGTAGGCATAAGGTTGATGTTAATACAACATTTAAAATTATTTATCGCATTCCTACTAATCTTAATTTTGCTTTACAAGTTCGTCTTCTACATACAGCTGAAGCAATAGGAATCCACCTGAAGAAGCCAAACCTGTGTGTTCAGAAGAAATTTGTACAGCCACTTTCCTTACCTTGGCTGGTCATCGTTACATGAATGTATAAACCGGACTACTTCGCCTTTTCCCCCTCCCTCTAAAACTTTAAAAACTATAATTGTCCGAATTATTTTATTATTTTTCTAACTACTTCATCTTTAATTACAAGGTGTCATTGTTTAAATCGTTTTATTTCTGTTACGTAATCAACTTGAGCACGCGTTTATTCCTTATTTACTCTTCATTTTTCCCAAATTATGCAATACGCAATCCATGTGTTGCAACCATCTCTACCTTTTAATTGTGTGTATTAATTTTCTTCGTTAATTATCACCCCATTGACATTTTGACACTGACTAATTATTGTTAACAAACATATCAGTGCGACTTGATTGGTAAACTGTTGTGTATTGTAATAAAAATGCTATGGATATATATATTAGAGTAGAGCCAGAGTGAATGAGGATCTTATTGAAAAGTAAATATTTCTTCGCTCAATCCTTCTCCTTTCGAAATATACTTTGACTGGATAGTAGACAGCAACTAATGTCATGCGTCTAGTTCTTTGTTTCCTGCAGACTGAATTCTATCAGACAAGTTTGCAAAGTGATCACCATGCTACGTGGCTCACTGTCACGGTGCACCCTGAATCGTTGTTATCAGATGATAGTTTGAGGCAATCGGAAGAAAGCCCTGGAACTACGTTTCGTGCTTGATGGCACTCACCAGTCAGTCAGCAAGGCGTACCTGTAATCTCGAAGGAACCCGTGTCACCCAGTGGTGCAGTCAGAGAAGTTACTACTGAGCTAGTCAGGCTCACTAGTGACCACTTATAGGAATCAATTGCATTCTTTGATTGCAAAATGGGCAGTAACTAGTGTCAAACTTCTATTCTTTTGTTTGGTGCAGACTGGATTCCATCAGTCAAGTCAATCGTGAGTCCATAAAGCTCAGTGGTAACGTCTATGACTGAAGTGTGGATGACACCAGTTTGAATCCCAGAGGGGACATGAGTTCCTTCAAGACTGCACATACGCCTCTCTGACTGATTGGTGAGTCCCGAGAAGCACGAAACGCAGGTCCAAGGCTTCGTCCCGATTGTCTCCAATCATCTAATAGAATAGAAGTATATTTCAATGTTAAAATCAATATCCCCTCCTTAAACTATGAAAAGTTGTCATTATGCAAAAGTTATTCATCAATTCATAAAATTACCTATACCCTAAACACAATGAAATTAGTGGAATTACTTTTTCATTGAACAATTAATTACATCTGGGCTGACTGACTGACTGACTATTGGACAGTTTAATAATTGGAAGTATACAAAATCAAACCAGTGGGTACAAAACAACACTTCAATGGTAAAAATCAATTTCCCAAGACAACATACAAAAAAAAATTCATACGAAATGCTGAACAACAAGCTTGATTTCGATGCATTACCAACTGATGCATGCACATAAGTACAACATAATGTAATTTTTACATCTTCTAACTAAGCCATTCAAACATGAGGTAAATAACCGCATTGCAATTTTATCTATTCGGTGATGATTGAATGTGAAATAAAAAAACTTAGGTCACTAGTGGGACTCGAACTAACGTCCAACTTCAAGTGGTCTGAGAGTCTACCAACTGAGGCTATGATAACAGGGAAGTCGTGACCAGTGGGGTTAACCATTTCAAGATGAAATGGATTCTCATCGAAGACATTGGTGAGGGCAGAGCTATATGACGAGTTGACAAAGTTGGAATTCAGGGGTCATTGAGTTCTAGCCTCCCAAGCGGCTGAATGGTCAACGAGTTTGGTCTCGTAACCTGAAGGCCTCGGGTTTCATCCCTGGCAGAGTCATGCGTGGGCACTGATGAAGAATCCTACCCTAGTATGAAACAGAGGCTCAATGCTCCCTAGTGGTTTTCAATGATCTCTCCAACTCATGTTGGTTCGTGGCAACAGGCGTCTAACAGGCGAAATTAATCCTAAATCTCCAAATATAAATCTTCAGTCATCCAATTTATTTTATCATGCAAACGCCTTCACATGTGTCATCTTTCTTTTTCGTCACCTCCACGTTAATGTATAAAATCTCAGTTTATCAGTACCGTTTTGAAGCGCTAAATAGTTGCTTCAGAAACCTACACCCTCCAGTGAGACATCGAATACAGCTATTCTAACACCCTACAAGTGCAGCGTTTAACCGACAACGTCCGCATAACATTGATGCGTAGTAGACAACAGACAAGTTCGACCAGAACCCTGGAAAACCTCACAATGGCGGTTAATGAATGCGACATTTCAGGGGTTGCGGGGTTATGCTCATATCCATTTTCCCAACTAGGCCATTTTTACCCTGTCAATCTAAAATTGTTTCAAATTTGTCTCATACAGAAATGTTTTGAATTCTCATATCATCATCGTGAGAAGAAAACACCACATTTCTTCTTGTCCATAACATAAAAAATTGGCAAATAAATGTCACAAAGACAGGAAATCAATCAAAAGCGTAGGATACCAACAAGAAGAAGAGAAAAAAGAAGAAAAAAATTAGTCTGAAATAAGGGTAACAAAAACACACCTGTAATTTTCCACTGTACACACATGCATAATAAGATAAAATAGAATTACCTATTCTCCTTTTTGTAACATAAAGTATGAAGAAACTAGGCCTATGACAAAATGTTATTTTTTTACTTTTAGTTGAACAAAAGTAATTTGAACACACATTTATCTCATCGCATATCATCCGTTTTATGTCGATTGTACCATTGTGGTGTGTGCTACTGATAAGATTTATTAGTAGTATATAAAAAGAGACGTTCATCGGCATTAAAAATGCATCAAATAGCAAGGAGACAGATTTGATGTCAGAGAAAGCAAATGGTACATACAGCGTTGCGGAGATACATGGGAGACGTGAAAGGAACACAAAGAAACACACAATATGACGGCCAGGTCTGTGCAGACTGTGCGTTGAAGATAAGCTGTACATAATTTGACTATACAGAAATACCAGGTCTCCCGTCTTCTAACGTTACAACTGGTATGGCTGCCTCCAGACAATGAAGATTCCATGGCCGGCTGCTTTTGAGGAAGGAGACAAGAGGAGTTTCTTACGGGACTTTGACGCCGTGGCTAAGTTGGTGGGCTTCAATGATCCGATGGCGAAGGCGGTCGTGCTGGGGACGCTGCTGAGTTTATCAAGTTTATCAACAAATAAATAGCCAGAGCATAACCATAAAGGCAAAACACCTTAGTTAGATTTTTAAAGTAAAAGGTATTAGAACACAAAAAGGGTGAGTAAAATTTGGATAAGAGGAGGAAATGGTGGACATCATAGAGAACAGATCAGATCTATGAAGATCAGTTTATTATAGCTAGAAACTTAAAAATTAAATATCAACATGCATAAACCAGAAAGAGCTTCTCTCATTATACACCACTACTAAGTCACAACACTACACACAGAAAAATGGAACGGATAAGCAAGCTTACGTCTATCAAAGGTAAACTCGTACACAGGTAGACATTTAACGCTCTACTATACAACGCTGACCTGGACACAAACATATTTAGAGGTTTTAATGAACAAGTTCACTGATTAAATATGTGATATTTATCACTCAAATCCATTCAACTAACCACACCAATTAATTTATTTTGTAATGTATTACTAACTCAGACATATTTGTTTGAAAGTGCTCTCTGAAGTGACGCTGTTTAAAGCCTAGCTTTCAATAACATTTTAGTCAGTATAATGTATATATATATATATATATATAATATATAGCACCTATTGTATAACACTTTATCTAATCAATACAGTGAGTAGTAACGAGGTGAAGTGTAGACTATTCGGTAAGGAGGAGGAGGAAGAGCTATGAAGCCCCACGAATTGATATGGCTAGAATATGCGCTGAAATAATGACACATTACTCAATAACCACTTAAAATTCCCTCCAGTTGACAATGACCCATCCAAGCTTATTGTGTAATAGTGGGTAAGCGTTACCAGCTGACTGCTCCAGTCTCAGTAGATGAAGTGGGATTCGGCATCGTGACCACACCCACTGGTTGGGAGTCAAGTACCAAAACCAATGATCCATCAACCTGTGCACGTGCTAAACATGCCGGATGACCACCTAAAAATCTATGAGCAATGTTAGCTGATACAGGATTATTTGGAAAGAGAGTTTTTTTACATTTTTATTCCTTTACGTTCCCAGTGGAATATAGGGCTTCAAGCTAGAGGCTTGAAGTTTCGGTAGCAGTGGTGTTTACTTTTACGGGATGGGGTTCCTAGCTAGCCTCATTCCCAACCTTCCCTCTTTACCAGTTTTATTACTACTGGCTTAGCGAGGTAAAGGAGTGCGTCGGCTGGGGATCGAACCGCGGACCACATGCGTGGTTGGTGACCATCCTACCACTATGCCACCGACGCACGGAAAGGGAGTTAAGTAGGATCAAACCAAAACATGGCACTAATCCATCAGGGCTTTGACTGTTGACTTCAGCCTAGTCCCATATGACCGGGCGTCTTACATAGCCTCTCCTGAGGAAGTCCCACTCACTGCCTTCATGTGGCGGAGGTGTTTTTCACCAAAGTGAGAGGGCGAAAGCGGATGCCCGACGCTCTTCACCAGGTTGACTGTCTATTGGATGACAGTCTAGGGGAGATGGCTAAACCCTGACTCCAAACCTCCAACGACTGGCGTATGAAGCCCACTGGAGCTCACCGGCAGACGTATGGACAAAGGGCTTGTTGGATGCCCTGGATGTCTGGCCCCATTCAAAAAGGCGTATGAACCGAACTCCGGTCACCGGCTGCCAATGGATAGTGGACTCCCTACTCCACTCCTACTGCCTTGTAGGTCACACTTGGTTGTGTAAAGGCTAGAGCTGCACTCTCAAACAAAAGACCGAGCGATTCTGGGGACATCACTCGTACCAAATTCCCATGAAACTTAATGAACTCTCTTACAAACGAGTGCCTGGGGCTACAAACCGTCTACGGACTCCGTCTGTGGAACAAGAATTGGACAACCCTGTCGCAAAACCTTGCATCAGATCGCCGCGCCTGGGCAGCGATGATTCGAGATGTTCATGAAGCCGGCTCATCCTCCCGTAGGAGATAGCCGAAGTAAATCAATCAATCAGTTCTACAAAGTTGTACAAAGTTCTACATTGATAACAGGTTACTAATCCATAGTTTTATAATTATTCTTTAAATAAAGCAGTAATCTAATTTGTGTGTCAGTGATTCAATCGTAGAATGCTTGTTAACCACTCCAAACATGGTCTGAACGAAGTTCCATCCCCGACCAACGTACTTCTATACCTCCCTTGGTCGGTAGTAAGACCGGTAAGGAGACAAGTTGAGTGTGCGGCTAGCAACCCTATTTCGTCAAACGAACAACACTGCAGCTACTGAGACTTGAAAGCTCAAGCTGGAAGCCCTATATCCCACTAGGAATTCAAAAGAACAAAGTAAGACATTCACCAAATAGTTATTCGTAATGAAATATGAATATATACATTTGAACTCAATTACCTGGAAGAACAGACTTTTCAATTACCAAGCTAAGAGCCACACACACTTATCGTGTCAGGGCCAATGATATTACTTAGTTGCCAACGCTGAAGAAGGTGGTGCAGGACTCGAACTATGACCTGTTGGCTAAAATTAATTGCTTAAGCCACTGAGCCACACACACACTAGAAAACCAGGGATTACAGGACATATGTTTTGGCCTAGACGAAGACTCACCGCCACCAGGGTTCGAACCCAGGACCTTCCGGTTACAAAGGAAGCTTGGATACCATTCAACCACTGGCCCATGAATCCCATCTCCAGACAATTCGTGATATATAGCGCTACACCACCTCCGACCAGACAGACCCTACTGGTCACGCCTTCTCACTAGAACTCCAGATAACTTCATTCTGGCAGAAGTTGGAATTTATGGGCCATTGAATTGGGTTGGGTCGTAGTGACTTAACTTGTAACCGAAAGATTCTAGGTTTAAACCTTGTTGGGTTGCGTTCCTTCGATTGTACAATTAACACTCATGCACAACAAAAAACAAACAACAATCCAACAAATTTCGGTTGCATGCAATTTGATAACATCTGTATGAAAAGTTTTAAAAAAAGTTAAACAACCAACTAACCGAGGAGAGAGAAAAAACTACATGTATATGTCACAATATATACACTCAGAAAAACAGAGAACATACTGAGCTGACCTTATTTCCAGGTTTATTTTTTGCTACTTCTGATGACTGTTGTTCTGCACTACACAAAGGAAGAAAAAGAAAGTATAAGAGTAGGATCCCGAATCAAAATATGTTTATTTCCTTTAAAAAAAAAGCAGATATGTTAAAGGTTATCCACACCAAAACATAATAATAATAAAACACATTGACAATATATTCGGTTAAATGTTAAACGATTTATAAGTGAGTGAGTTAGGCGGATAAAAACAAGTGAATCTGAATACACCATTGATTCATCTCTATATAACTGGAAACGCTTACAGGACGTCTGTTGACATATCGGTTCCTAGTATAGACGCTTCGACGATGCCTACTGTCAGTGAGTTGGTGGTGGCGGCTAACAGTGAGAATGACGATCTGCACTTTCTTCTATTTGAGACTCGTCAGTTGGATGTACCTGCATCCCCCCAGTGAGTAATCCAGTTCTCAGTGGGATTCGAACCCAGCACCCATCGTTTCAAATGCCAAAGTGACTTCCACTAGACCAGTGGCCCAGGAAAATAACCTCTGGCACGACAGATATCAGTTGTAGCTTGTTCAAATTTTTGCATTTGAAACGATGAGTGCTAGGTTTGAATGCCGGTGGGAAGACCACTGGATGTACTTGCATTCAACTGGTAAGTCCCAAAAATAGGATGAAATGTACATCTTGGATCATACTGCAAGACACAATGACTACATCAAATCTTATATAAAACAGTCATGAAGTGAGGAAACAAGCAATGTCGCACTTCTTACTGACTATTCAAGTTCCATTCATTAGATATGGCAAAGAACTAAGTTAAATTTAATTTGTGGATGGTGACTAGCATTGGAATCAAGGATGTGCATTTCGTCCTATTTGGGACTCGTCATCTGGATGTACCTGCATTTCCCAGTCAGTGAGTGATGATGTTCCCACCGAGGACGAAATGCGCATCCTGGATTCCACTGCTAATCACCATCCACAAATTAAATTCTAATTAAATGCCCAGACATCGTCGAAGCATCTGCACAAGAAGCCGACATGTCAACCTGAGACCGAGCACTTCGGTCCAATCAATCGACGGGAAAATCTAAAATTCAATTAAACTAAGTTAAATGTTTATTATTTATTTCAATGTAGATTCCGTCACCAACCAACATTAGTTAGAGGTTACTGAAAACCAGGGAGCACTAGAGTTTAGGACCCAACTAGGAGCAGAAAACCAAGACTTTCATATTATACGAGATCAAGTTCATTGACCATCCAGACACTTGTGCGTAAATTCAATCTTCTGTGAACTCTAACATCTTCAACTGGTAATATATCTGTCTGTCTGGATTCAACATAGAACTTGCCACCGAAGTGCAGCAGTTCGAGTTGCCACGTTCCAAATAGCACACAAAGGTAGACAGGAAAATGAGAGAGGAGAATCAATAGAGTTTTGACAAGTATAAGAGTGAAACAGAATGAGTAATGGTAGAAAGGAATATGAAAGATTACAGAGACTGAATCCATCTGCGCCATCGACAACGATTTTGAGCCATGTCACCTAGTGTCTCCAGCCATTGATTCTTAGAGTCCCGAGGGCCCCACCCCGGAAGTCTGCATCTCCCTACCTGACTCAGTTTAACTGTCAGGGATTTCATGGGTTGGTGCCAAGTTTTTGTTTGGCCACCACTTACTCTTTTCCAACCCACAACACCTATATAAGCTAGTAATGCCCGTCCGTTGGGGGAGGCGATGGTTAGGCATGCGCAGCACGTGACCTAGCCATCTCAATCTATGTAACTTTATAGCCTCTTCGATTGATTTCCCCTCTTTGCCCAACACTCTACGCCTAACGTCAACATTACTTACCTTATTATACCACCTAACGTGAGAAAGAGATCGTAGACATCTGTGGTCAAAAACAGTCAACTTTTTCATGTCTTCCGCTCTCAATGGCCACGTCTCACCACCATAGAGAAGGACGGAGCGAACTGCTGAGCAGTACACACGTCCCTTGGTTGATAGCCGGATGTCACGCCTACGCCAGAGATGGTGTAAGTTAGCGAAAGCAGCCCGAGCTTTTTGGATCCGTGCTGAGATTTCGTCACCAATCAATCCGTTGGTGCTGATACAACTTCCCAAATAGGTGAAGTGGTCAAAATGTTCTATCACTTCACTCCCTATCACGAAGCTAGTTGACGTAGTCCAGTCCTGTAGCAGCATCTTACATTTTACAGGGGCGAATCGCATACCAAACATACGAAGATTGCTGCTCAAGGTGTTCAGAAGACTCTGCATTTTGTCAGCATCCACCCCTAACAGGACTATGTCATCTGCATATTCTAAGTCCATAAGACTATTCCCTGGTGACAAGTCGATTCCTTAGTCGTTAAGTTCAGTTAAGGATACTTTCATTAGCATATCTATGATGAAGTTAAACAGAAAAGGGGAAAGTGGACATCCTTGACGGACACCACTGGTTGTTATCAATTCAGATGACAATTCCCCATAAGCCCTTACACGGCTACGTGAGTTTGAGTAGAGTGCCTTGATTAGTGCAATGTATTTTCTTAGCACTCCCTTCACAGTCAAACATTGCCATAGTACCTTTCGATCCACGGAGTCGAAGGCCGCAATTGTTGGACGCCAAAAAGTGTGTCTATGTTCTAGGATCTGTCGGAGAGTGAAGATATGATCTATGCACCCTCTACCTGGTCTAAATCCAGCTTAATTTTCCCTCGTTTGTTCCTCCCGAGTTCGGTTTAGTCTGTGCATGATTACTGAGCCTAGGATTATAGAAACTATGTTCGTTAGGCAGATCCCCCTATGATTATCACATGAGGACTTGTCTCCCTTCTTGAATATTGGTATAATAAGTGACTTAACCCAGTCTGATGGAACCGTCTCTGATTCCCAGACGTTACCTAGTACCTTAGTTAATCTACTTACTAGTATGTCACCCTCATAGTTAAACACCTCCGGAATAATTCCGTCGGGTCCTGTCGCTTTGCCTCGTTTCAAATTACAGATAGCTTTTCTGACCTCACTTACAGACGACGGCCAGTGTCTATATCCCATTCGAATGTGTGCTGGATGGCGGGAGGCTCAGTGTGGCTGTAGGCAAGTTAAATTGTTCCTCGAAGTGTTCTTTTCAGCGTTCAAGGTGTCTATCCTGAGAGCTAATTAAGGAGCCATTTTTCTCAGGAATAGTCTCAATTATGATTTGCCTTCTCCCACCCGTTTCCCTGATGAGTCTAAAGAGTTGCCTAGTGTTGCCTATCGCCGATGCTTTTTCCATCTCTTTCGCCTTTGTCAGCCACCACTGTTCACGGTCCTTGCGGAGACTTTTTGTAAGTTTCCTTTTGTGCAGCTTTCGCTTCTCATTGAATTCGGAGCTCGCCGGAATAAGTCTTCTAGCATCTATCAGTTCGGATGAGGCAGTCGAAATCCAATGGTTTTTACTCACCTTTGGATGTACCTTATTCACAGCTTTTACAGCTGTATCTATGGTTGACTGAATATTCTTCCAGGCTTCTTCAGGGTGAGCACAGCTGTCAAACTGAAATATGTTTTTAGCTAGTTCTTCTTCATTAAATAGGGACTTAGTTTCCTGATCGAGCTGGAGACGTGATGGGTTTATCGTCCGTTCAGTCGTAAGCACACACGAGTGCGCACCAGTGCGTGACCGGTATCTACACACGTGTTCCAGAAGGAGCGACAATCTCCTACCGACCCACGCTTATTGCTATGTGGTCTGTTTGTGTCCAGCGTTGGTTTGATGATGGGGGTCGCCAGACCCTAGTCTCAACCGATGCCTTCGATGAGCATCCTATTCACCTTGAAATGATGCACTTCCCACTGCCATCAGTGAGCTGGCGATTGATATTCATACTGTAGGATTTTTTTAGGAATTTTTTCCACTAATTTCACAAGTTGACAAAGTTAGAATTCATGGATCATTGAATAGTTAACGAGCTTGGTGTCATAACCTGAAGGTCTCAGGGGTTCGATCCCTGACGGGATCATGGGTCCACACTGCTGAAGAGTTCAAAAATAGGATATCCACCCAGTTGCCATCAATAAATTCGTGGTTGGTATTCTGATTATGAGTTTTCGCAGCGCTATAATATCATGAATTTGATAAAATTCCTATAAAATACCCTAAATCTAAAGATTATTATTTGTTTATTTATTTGTTCCATTATTTATTCCAACCGGAAAATTACTCCTTATCAACACAGTTCTACTGTATTCTCTTCTCTGTAGCTCTACATTTAGCTCTCTACGCGATTGCTTTCATTTCCTCTTTATATGATCTACTCATATTCATGTCATCATCCTCGGATGCATAGCCAACTCACAGCATTCCATCAGTGTTCCAGTCGAGGACTAGGAGCCTGAAGTGTGAAGTCAATCAGCCGTCTTCTCAATGTTTGTCTGACTCATCAGCCATTTCCTACTGTATATTAGTTAGGCAATGGATGCCGGTGGCACAGAGGTAGAATGCTCACCAACCACGCCTTTCTTGGTTCGAGGCTCGATCCCCGGCCACTGACACCACTCCTTTACCTCACTAAGCCAGTAGTATTAACCTGGGAGTACTGGATAGCTGTTTCCCCCGTCCTAGTTTGGGACTCTTCAGCAGTACGCACCCACCGAGGTTCGAACTTAGCACCCCTCTGGTTAGAAGGCTAGCGAGCTCGTAGACCATTAGGCCACTGGGACCCGATCCAATGGCCCATGATCCAATGTCAGCTCATGATGAAATCCTGTAACCAATCAACCAAATCCCTACAAACCAATACTTGAATATCAATAAGATGCTCACTGGCGACTGGCCCCACTCAGGTAGGTAGTTACCTGGGGTTCCAGTGAGAAGTCGTGACCAGTAGGGTGCAGTAGGTCCGGTGTGAGGACAAATACTCGCCCAAGACATTGGTTAGCGGTTGCGCTATATCGTGAGTTAGCAGAAGTTAGAATTGATGGACTGGCCATTGGATCGGGTCCCAGTGGCTTAATGGTATACGAGCTCGCTAGCCTTGTAACCAGAGGGATGCTGGGTTCGA